TTTTTTCATCTCTCACCGGCATATTTGTCTGTTGCATCCTCAGTATCTAGAACAGAGTCTGGCACAGAGCAGGGGCTCAGCAGGTATATTTAAGTTGAGGAATGAATGATTAGATGGGCAATAGCGTCTCCAATAAGAGCGATCACAGTGGAGCGCCTACCTTTTATTTAGCAAGGACGTCAGGAAGTCTGTCTGTCTTACCTGTGTGTGCATGCCCAACCGTATCCCTCTAGCTTCTGGCATGGTAGAAAGGTCTCGAGGAACAAGGAGACACTTCAGAGGAGGGGCAGGCAGTAGTCAGCACATGCACTATGCACATGGCCAGTGTGGAATGGCCACTGCAGGGAGCACACACACACACTGGCTGCCACTGCCACCCATGAGGACTCAGGTGTGGTGGGGCTGGGATATGCTCGTGGAGGCCACCAAAATTAACAATATTGACACTTAGGGACCTTTTGGTTCTTTTGACCAGATTTAAAAAAAAAAAAAAACCTGCCTGATAGAGATGTTAATCAGACTGCCTAAATAAAACAGAGCCTCTGTAAAGTGTTTTCATTTAGACAGACTTTACAAAATCATTGTAAAGAACTAAGCTTCCTCTCTGGAAGGACAGATCCCACTAATCTGGCGTTAATGCTCTGACTCTTGTTCTGTCTTCTTTCTGTGACTTCCTGTCTCACACAATGTGTTCCTCTAATGAGAACTGTCACTGAATATTGAGTGTTGGCCTTTGTGGTCCCTGTGAGCCATTGTCCACACACAGTCTTTGAAAGCAGGCTGGCTTTGTAATGGCAACAGTCCTGTTTGGGTAAGTAACTCAGTGGCTACAGTTTTCATTTCTCATCAGTAAAATGAGGACAACAAGAGTTCTGCAGCAGGGTTATTGCAAGGGTGAAAATAAGAGTGTATGTAGCCAGGGCTTGGTGAGTACAGCATCTGCATTTCGATTGTGGCAGCCCCTGTGGTTTAGGGGGAGAAAAGGTTTAGGGAGAACTTGGTCTAGACTCAAGTCACTCTGGTCAGTATCTTCCTTACCCTTGGTTTCCACTGACCCAAAGGGATGAGCAAACAGGTTAAAGAAGAAATCAGAGCGAGGGACAAATGCAGATCCTTAGGAGAAAATGAGGGAAAGCAAGAATTATGGGAGATAACAAGAGCACCTCATTCAGTTAGAAAGCCCTGAAAAGGGTACCAGTACAATCCTGGTGCCCATATTATAGCCTAGGGCAGCGATGTGCCACCTCGGAGGTGAGCCGCTGACTGTCACCTCCTAGGCAAAACTGTGAGGACTCCCAATAGGACAGAGTTGGAATAGGATGGTAAGGGTGCTGATGGTCTGAATTCTATTTCTTCTAATGTCTCAACTCAATCCCATTATAAAAAAAATACCCATTTATTTAAGCTTCCTCTGAGAAGATTTAATTACGTATGCATCATCTATGGATCTTGTTATAAAGCAGGTCAATCTACCTGAAGCATCACTATCAACTTCTCTGAAATTGGAGAAGCCCCCCTGCAACTGGGGTGCACTTCTCTGTCCATGACGCCTCTGGGGCCTGTGAAACTGGACACCGCCCTGGTGGCAGCCACATTTCCAGCAAAGGCTCCCAGTGCCATTCAGAACAGGGCCCATCGATGCTAGAGATTCATAGTCTGATAAGAAATAGTGCTGAATACAGTGACACTGGCTGCCAGGACACCCCCATTTCCTTTCAAGCAGATATCATCTCTTCCATTAGTTCCCAGGAGTCGTGGTATGGCTACACCATGGCCCGGTGCCACCAGCAGGCCTTAGCTTACGTGGGAAGAAAGAAAAAGAGGGATAAAGGGAGAAGACCAGAAAGGCCTAACTGGAGCTGAAACAAACAGAATTAGAAAATGCAAAGGAAGGGCCTCCCCCGTGGCGCAGTGGTTGAGCGCTGGGTTGCGAGGCTGCCTGCAGCCTCTGCAGCACCGGTTCGATTCCCGGCCACCGGGCGAGGGTCCCATATGGTGCGCAGACCTCTCCTGCCGCCCGCTGCTCCCCTCAGCAGTGTACTTCGTCACTCTGCCTGTTCTGTTCCCCTCTCCAGCTCTGGTGAATTCTCTCGCCCTCCCGCGCTTCTGACTGTACCAAGTGCTTGTATAAATGTATAAATAAATAAATAAATCTTTAAAAAAAAAAAAAAAAAAAGAAAATGCAAAGGAAGAAAACTAAAGCCACATGAAGGGAAAAGGCCCCCTTGTGACATGTCTCCAGTGGTTCCCTCCCCGCGGGGTGTTTACGTGGGGCTGGTCTGCTTATAGGCAACACTCAGAATTGAACTTGTTTGATTTGAGGGAAGGGACTATGGAGCTTGGCCCTTTTCCAGAGATCCAGAATATTAGAAGGGGGTCACCATTTCCACCTCTCCCCTTTCCAGTCTCCGCTCATGAAACTCTATTATCTAAAAAAGGAATATATGTGCCAGGTACCTTCCTGGAAGAGGAAGCTTCAGAAGCCCTGGGTGGAAGGGCATGGAGAAGAGGATGTGGAAAGGATGATGGGTGGGGAGAGCAGGCCATGCATGTACAGAGGGCTACCTCTGATGGGAGGGTAGGAAGCAGCAGCCACAGCAAAGCCCCGCATGCCTGGGCAGGGTAGAGTCTCCTGGATGCCCCAGGTGACAGAACTGAAAGGACAGAGAGCAATAGAGAATCACCTTTCTGTTTCTCTGGCAGAGGTTTTATTCATTTGAAAGCAGCCTTATGTCCACAGCTTGATAAATTCATGATCTGGCTTCCCTATGACTCTGATCCTATCTCCTTCTGCTCTTGTTCTCTCCTATTCTGCTTCCCACTCACACTGGCCCCCTCGCTATTTCTTGACACCACAGAAAGCGCCTACCTCAGGGTGTTCCTATTGCCTCTGTCAGGGATGCAGATCTCCACTCAATTATCACCTTTTCCGAGAGGACTTCTCTGCCAAGAGTAGCTTCCTGCCAGAACACTCCCTGAGCATTTACCTGCTTTATGTTTTCTTCCTGCACTTATCTCAAGAATTTATTCTGTCTGCATCCCCCCATGGAATGCGAGTTTTACAAAGACACAAATATTACTTTGTTTACTTCTGAACATTGCTTAGAACATAGCAGGGCTCATGAAATATCTGTTGAATGAATGTGTGAACCAAAAATCATAACTCTGTGTATGTGTGTGTGTGTGTGTGTGTGTGTGTATGCATGTATATATTTCTGTGGATTGAACTGTTTACTGGTTTAGGTTGGGCCATCACACAGGGACAGGAGTAAATGGTGGGACCATTGCAGTTGAGAAGCCTTGGTAAGAGTTGTCATGCCCTTTTCTAGAAAGATGCAACTTGTATCTCCATTCCAAGTGCGGCAGAGCTGTAGCAGCCAGCCTCCAAAATGAGCCCAGTGCTCCCCAGCACCTGATCCTCACACCCTGTATCATCCCCTCCCATGCTGGAAAGAACTGGCTTGTGTAACTAACTTATCAGTGTGACGGTGGTGATGATATATAAACCATAGGATTGGTTATTATAGACACTGTGATTTCTGTCTTTCTCCTTCTGGAATTATCCACTGTGATGAAACCAAGTCACCATGCTGTGAGGAGATTTAAATAACCCAAGGAGAGAGGTCAGCAGGAAGAACTGAGAGGAACGTGTGTAGAATCATCTTGGAAGCAGCCCCAGTTGAGCCTTCATATGATGCAGACCCTGCCAACATCCTTACTAGAACCTGCTGAGAGACCCCAAGTCAGAAGCACCCAGCTCAGCTGCCCCTGAATTCCTGACCTCCAGAATCTATGTGAGATAATAAATGTCTGTTATTGTTTTACATTACTACTATAACTTAGATGATTTTTGTTTTACCATGATAGGTAATTACCACAAAGCAGATGATGTGGGGGCAAACCATCCCACGTCTGAGTCTGATACGGGTGTAACAAGGACTGTGTCTTTTAGTGGTTAACTGTGCAGTCTATTTGCCCTTCTGGAGTCAGCTGGCCCAAATTTGATTCTGTAATTCTTAGTAGCCACAAATGCCACCTGTATCCTCAATAAACTTTATTTAGACACAAACAGACACGACAGAAAATACATACACAGATACAGATTATTTTTTTCTCTATAGGATGAACAGACATCACATAGGGGATTTAAAAAGTTAGTGCATGGAATGTAAGAAAAGATCGCAAAGTTCCTTGTTCACTCACACTTAAAACAGACACATATTTCAGAGGAAGGCAGGGATATACCATCCCACAACAGAATTCACAGTTGGTCTATAACAGTACACAGGTGTTAGGAAGGTAATCAGAAGAGTTAGGGCTCCAGTTACTCTTGATATGACAGAATACTCACAACACTAGTAGGACTCTGTTTAAACAAAAGACAGAATCGAGGATTCCAATCCCCCTGCACAGATGCTCTGCAAGCTGTCAGCTAGGGCATAAAGCAGCTCAGCAGTAATGCCACGTTACTTTCATCTTGTGGTCTGAAGGTCTGCGTAACCTCTACCTTTGTGTCCAAATCACAGAGAGTTTAGATAGACGCACTGAGGACGTGGAAATCTCGACATGCACGCTGGCTTAGAAATCCACAGTACAGAACATTGACATCAGTTTTTAAAACGTGGCTTTAAAAAGAAAAAGGAATAATAGCCAAGAGGAGAATAAACACTTCGCATGTGCTGCCATATCCACGGCTGTGTTTCCCGCCACATGCCCAGGGCCCCGCCCACGGGGACCATTGGCATCTGTGCTCTCTCCCTGCTGTGGATGGAGCTGGGTGGATGTCTCTTGGAAGTCTATTATTGCCCTCTAAAATCACACCTGTGACCTCCTGGTCACACCTGTCAGAAGCCACACATGTCACCAGGACACGATGCACTGGAACCACCCCACTTATTCCTGTCCAGGATAAGTCTCTGGCCTCCACACCATCTTCACACTTCAGATCGGGGGGCCCTAGGCAACCTCTGTATTTTAGTAAAAAATGGTTTCCACTGTACCCTTCGTGTGTCCTCTTCCTAATGTGACAAATCCAGATGAGATGAAGTTATGGAGATCTGGTCCTCCACTTCGGTAAGCATCCTTCCCATAATGTCCTGCAAGAAGATGGGGCAGAATTACCTGGTGCATCTATGACACCAACAGGAAGACAAAATGGATCTGCTCCGGCTCACCACCCATGATGATGAACTCAATCTCAAATTAGCAGCTAAGTTGGATGGTAGAAGCAGTCAAGAGAAAATATACATTATTTTATATATTAAACATTATATATATTATATATACAATTGCTGTGCACCAGTATATATAATAAATAAATATAATATATAAATATATCTGTATATATGTGCAAACACATATTTCAGACACACATATGTGTGTACATAAGTAGACACACACATATACATGTATATGTAAAACTGCAAGAAGGAAGAATATGAGAAGGTTCTGTTGAAAGCAGAGAGAAGAAAAAGGAGACACACGGTTTGATTTTGGCATTTCTGACAAGAACATCAGTCTATTTGGCCCATCCTTTTTTCTTTTGTCCAACTCCCTCCTTCTTCTTGCCTTGCTCATTTGTTTTCTTTCTTTCCAAAGTATGCAGGCGTGGGTCTGCTTGAGGCTATGCTGTGTGTGTAAGTTTATGAATCATCACATCCAATGGACCTGTAGCCTTGTGGCTGAAAAACCCCACATCAGCTGAAGCTGACAAGAAGAATGGAGGTTGTAAAACACTGTAAAGATATTTATGTGCTTTTCTCTCTTGACTGTGCAAGAAGATCTTAGTCCTCATCAGCCTAATACATCCTCAGGAAAAGACTGAGGGCAGGTTAGGACTTTGAAGAGAAGAAATTCAAAGAGAAAGAGATTTAATGTCCTGCTCCTGACATTTGAGATAGAATTTCACAATGCACTTGAAATACAGGCAAGAAAGAAAGGACTCTCTAAATGCCATCCTAAGGTAAGTACATGTGAAAATGGAGAAAAACCATTTTTGTCATGTTGCCAAGAGCATATTAAAAACTATACTTATAATTATAACAATGTGCAAAACCACCTGAGGATGTAATATTAAGTTTAAAAGTAGACAGAAAAATGCTACATTAACAATGATCACAATGCTCTGCTGGGAAAAAGCAAACCAATACCCATATACGAAACAAAACAGACAGAATCACTGCCTTTGGATAGTTGAAATAAGATCACCAAGTCTTACTTTTTCTCTCACTTTTCTATAATTTTCAAGACTTTTGTTTTCTATAACAAGTATGTAATTTTGGTAATGTATCAATAAATTGGTGAAATAAATTTCTTTTTTTTTAAGATTTATTTTTATTTATTTATACAAGCACTGGGTACAGTCAGAAGCGCAGGAGGGTGAGAGAATTCACCAGAGCCAGAGCGGGGAGCACAGCAGGCAGAAGGACCGAAGTACACTGCGGAGGGGAGCAGCGGGCGGCAGGAGAGCTCTGCGCGCTATGTGGACCCTCCTCCGGTGGCCAGGGAGCAGCCGGGGATCGAACCGGTGCTGCAGAGGCTGCGGGCAGCTTCGCAAACCAGCGCTCAACCGCTGCGCCACTGGGGAGGCCCTGAAATAAATTTCTAAAGACAAATTTATGGTAAAGGCAAAAACAACCTAAATCACCTTTTTTTCTCAATGGGGCACCTTCTGTATGAGTAGACCTCAAACTTGAGTGCATACTGAAATGATCCAGAAGTTTTTCAAAATACAGATGTAAGATATAACTCCAGGGATTGTGATACTGTTGGTGGCCAGGGTGTGGGCAGAGGCAAGGGTATATATATATATATTTTAAAGATTTATTTATTTATTTATTTATACAAGAACTGGGGTACAGTCCAGATACGCGGGACGGTGAGAGGATTCACCAGAGACAGAGCGGGACCAGAACAGGCAGACTGACGAAATGCACTGCTGAGGGGAGCATCAGGCGAGACAGGAGAGGTCTGCCATGCCATGTGGGACCCTCGCCGGCCGGGATCAAACTGGCGCTGCAGAGGCTGCGGACAGCTTCACAGCGCTGTGCTCAACCACCCGCGCTACCAGGGGAGGCCCTATATATAGATATATATTTTTAAGATTTATTTATTTATGCAGAAAAGAACTGGGGAATAGGCCAGAGGTGTGGTGGTGGTGGTGGGGTTTGCTGCGATGATTCACCAGAGACAGTGGAGAGCAGAACAGGTGGATCTACTGAAATACACTGCTGAGGGGAGCAACCGGAGAGGCAGGAGAGGTCTGCTGTGCCATGTGGGTTAGCTCCCTGGCCAGGGATCAAACTCAGGCCTCAGTGGTGGTAGCATGACAGTGCTGAGACTTAACCCCTACGCCACCAGGGAGGCCACCAAAGCAAGGGTACTTTTTAAAAGCTCTCTAGGTGATTCTGATATGCCACCAAGAATGAGAACTATTATCCTAGAGTAAGTGGAGAAACAACCTACATTTGTTTTATTTAGGTGTGTCCCATGGAACCTGCAGATATTTGGTACCACCTACTACTTAAGTTCTGAGTTTGCAGTTCTGGGTCTAGCTGTCCCAGCTCCTTCCTTCTTCACTCAGATCAATGGTTCTCAAACCTGAGTGTGCATCAGAAAAACCCGGAGAGCATGTTAAAACAGACTGCTGGGTTCCACTCCTAGAGGTTCTGATTCAGTAGATCTAGGAATGGGACAAGATTTCACATTCCTGTCACCTGGTGATGCTGACAATGCTGGATCCAAGGATCCCACTCACAACCATTTTCCTGGCAGCTCTGCAACACAGGAGAATTCCACCACTGTGGTCCTTATACCCTCCACTGTGGAATAAAACACCTCCTACCATAGGGTACTTAGCTTTCCACAAAGAACTCTTTTGCTATAAAATACTTTATCATAACCTGGTATTTTATAGAATCAAATTATTGGAGCTGAACTAAGTGACTTTTACCCATATCTCAAACCATGTCACAGCTCCAGAAACTGGACTTCAGTTCCTAGATAAATATATCTTCATCAGGAGAAAGGGAGGGGGATATGTCAAGGGGTGCATGGAGATGTGCACTACAAGTCCCAGGGTGAGTCGGGACCCTAGTCCTACAACAAGGTCACTTTACCCAACCCCCCCTTCTCAACAATAGAAGAATAAGCAAAGGAAGCAATAATTCAGGAGTCTCATAAATTTGGGCCTCATTAATTCAGAATCTGTGATACATCCTGCAGAATTTGGTTTATTTTTATGCTCCTTATAAATAAAATTTTTGATAAATCAATATAGAGGGAGGTGGAACATTAAACAGTGCCTGTGCTACTTAGAAATCATTCTTGCCTGTCAGCTGGAACAAGGTCCCTCAGGACTAAGTGTTGCCTTAGTGCTTTGGGTTATGCTTGTTTGGAAAAGAATTTGTTTGGAAAAGAACTTTCCTAATTACTCACAGAGTGATTAGGATGGGACAAGATTTCACATTCCTGTCACCTGGTACCTGGTACCTATAGGTACCAGAGGGACAGAATTTAATTTTTTGAAATCATAATATTGAATATTTTGTAGCATTACACAGTTTACTAAGATCTTCAACATATATCATTTATTTCAAATTTTAATCACTACTACATAAGTTGTCTATAATTTCTATTTCCCCAGTTTATTGATGAACAATCTAAGGCCAAAAGGTCTGAAGCTGATTAGATGCTTGAGTCAGGGTTGACATCTAGATATCCAACTCCAAAACCCAGGTGCATTCTGTCATGCACACCCAGTTTCATTTACTACTCTTAAGAAAGCTATGTAAATAGCCACTTCTCCAAGGCCATGGAGCTAGTAGTGGTAGTGTGGGTCCCAAACGGGTCTTTGGCCTCCTGCCTCGAGGGCTGGAAGAAGGGAATAGTTTGGAGTTACAGCTACAGAACAGAGAAGTGACAGGATGTCTCCTGTCTCCTGACAGGTCTACCAGTCTCCAAATCCACAGTTTTTCTACAACCCCCACCCTAGCCTCTCACCCGATGGTCTAAGCATTTGTAGTTGTGACTGTTCTTTGAAACTTTAGCTGGGTTCCAGGGAATATGAAGTCATTGGTGATGTCTAAAGTGATAGACAAGATGGCTCAACTGTAGAGAGCTTCAACTACTGAGGTTTTCAGTTGGGAAAAGGAAATGCGGTGGAGTCAGGATCAAGAGCATTTAACAGGAATATAGAATTACATGATCAACTCATGTCTGGAATGTTGAGCTAAATGAAATGAAAAGTAACATGAAAACCAAGCCTAAGTTTCGGGCCATTGGGCCAATTCATATTTCGCTTTGGGACACTTTTTGGGAAAGTTGCCCATAAAGTGGTATTGGAAAAGGCACAATGGCTGTTCCTACTTTAAATTGGAGCTGTGACCCTCAAATTTGAGTCCTTTAGGCACCTGGATGACACACAGATTGCCATGCTCCAGCTGATTTAGTAGGCTGAAGGTGAGACCTGATACTTTCCATTTCTAACAAGTTTCCAGAGGATGCTGATGCTGATCACAAGTCCAAGGATCACACTTTATGAACCACTGAGTAAGACAGAACTACAGATGGGTCAGTTTTCAGTTGAGTCCAAGGCCAATCCTAGGCATTTAAGGTCTAGAGTGATGTAATTCTCTGTATCTTCAAAAGGAATAGTCTAGAATGAACAAGGCCAAAATGAAGAGAAGAATGCTTGGTAAAGCACAGTTCTAAGCAGCTGGAGGAACATAAAGAAGAAGGTCAATGCCTCTTTTTTGCTTTGGTGATGCAGAGTTGATGCATGGATAATATGAATGGGTATTATAGAATTCTTGAACCATTACGCAAGCAGCATTCCCTACTCCGTTCTGCAGCTATGACTTCAACGCAATATCCTTCTTCTAGCCATCAAGGAAGGAGGCCAAAAGTTGTATACAAACTTTGCCCAAATTATAATTCCAGAGAAATAGCCATATATCCAGCAGAACTGCTCAGCAGAGGTAATTAGCAGGAGCTCTGAGAGCATTCCTGTTAAGCAGCATTAGCATGCCCATGTCGTAAGATAGACAAACACACAGCCCCTGACCCTGTCACTACCTACTGAGCAAGCTATGCAGAA